GTCGGAGAAGTGGGCGTGGTCAAGACAGCTTGCAGGTAGCAAAAAGCAGAGGAGGCGGAGCTGAAACCATGACATGCTGCATCTTTTACAGCGTTTAGAAACATTGTTCAGAATATTGCACGAGTGTGGGAAGGGTTTAAAATACCTTTACACACACACACGTATATATATATATATATATACACATACTACTATTTCTACTTCTCAATTTTTCACTTATCGCGGGCGGGTCTTCCAGGTACGGATCCCCCGTGATAAACGAGGGACCGCTGCAGTTACGAAGTCAGAGTCAGAAGCTATAAATCCTTTTCTTTCTGAAAACATGATTTGAACCACAAACCTTTGCGCACGTTGTGTTTCCTAACAAGTTAATCCAACGACAATCCCACATACATCAACATCCCACAACAAAAGGCCCGAGCAAGTCAAGACCTTGCACAACTTGAGACCTTGATTTGTGACCTTGAAGCTACAGCGAGATGAAAAGATACGAGACTCTCCATCTAGTGACGTGTATCAAGTTCCATTAAATTATCCTGAGTGGATCAGAAGTCGGCAGCACAACTGGTAGAGCTGCTGCCTCTCAGCGAGCAGGTCCCTGGTTCAAATCCCGGTCCAGGGGCCTTTCTGGGTGGAGTTTGCATGTTCTCTCCGTGCATGCGTGGGTTTTCTCCAGGTACTCCGGTTTCCTCCCACAGTCCAAAAACATGCATGTTAGACTGATTGGTAACTCTAAATTGTCCCTAGGTGTGAGTGAGAGAGTGAATGTTTGTTTGTCTCGTTTGTCTCTATGTGTCCCTGTGATGGACAGGAGACCAGTCCAGGGTGTCCCCCGCCCCTCGCACAGTGATTGCTGGACATGGGCACCAGCGACCCCCGTGACCCAAAATGGAATAAGCGGGTAAAGATGATGGATGGATCAGAAGTTACTGGCCAGAAAAGCAAAGGCCTTGTTTTTCTTTGACCTTGATTTATGACCTTAATACTGGAACTTGGGTGATGAAAAGTGTCTGTGACACTCCGTCTGGTGAGGATGCTTACGAGTATGATGACGTTTTTTTTAAATATCCTGAACGGAACATAAACCATGGCCCCTGTCAGGATCTAACCCCTGTCAGGATCTAACCTCTGTCAGGATCTAACCCCTGTCAGGATCTAACCCCTGTCAGGATCTAACCTCTGTCAGGATCTAACCTCTGTCAGGATCTAACCTCTGTCAGGATCTAACCTCTGTCAGGATCTAACCCCTGTCAGGATCTAACCTCTGTCAGGATCTAACCCCTGTCAGGATCACTGTCCGCTGTTTAAAGCTTGAATAATACTTCATTACAAATTCAAAGCATATTATTGTTAGTGTCATCATTGTTGTTGTTGTTGTTGTTGTTGTTGTGCGCTGGTTGAAAGACTGATGAGTTATCATATAGTATCCGTTCGTACGTAACTTGCTCATCCCGGCCAGAACTTCTGATCCGCTCAAGAAAAATGAGTATTTGTATTTGACCACCAGACAGTGTGTTGTATAATCTGTTCATCACCCCAGCTCTAAGTTCAAGGTCATAAATCAAGGTCATTTTTAATCATTGTCTTTACTATTGCGGGTTAGATCCTGACAGGGGTTAGATCACCCACCAGATGAATTAATTTGCAGATTGATCTGTGGATTCTTTGAAGTTTAATAAAAGTTTTTGTTTGAATCCTCCAGAACATGAACGTGAGTCACAGCTGGACTTGTGGCTCCATCTAGTGTTTCACACCTGTGTTTGGTCATTTTCAGTCCGTGGCAACAACTCAATCAATTTAATCAAATATTGTATTTAGTCAGTTTGGATCAAAATATCTGTCAGTATAATATTTGTTGATGACAGGACAGCTGGGTCCAACATGTCCCTGTGGACAGAGTGTCCATCCTTTTGGTCAAATCCAGTTGATTCAGTTTTTATTGAGGTTAATGAAAATGCAAAAGCAATGATGGATTTTTATCAGTTGATTATTAGTTAATTATTTTATTACTGTGTCAGTTTCAAGTCATTGCAGTGATATTTGTGGGTTTTTATTTCTTAAACAAAACTCATTTGTTCATGTCTGAAAATCATTTGCTTTAATTTATTATTATTTAATTTATAAACTTATTAAATATTATTATTTATTTGGTTGAGTTTGTATTAGAAAGTCACTTTTAGTCATTTTGTTGTTTCAGTTGTTGTAAAAACGCGTTTTGACCACTGAATAAATTAGAAACATCTAAACTGAAACATCAGTTTGGACTTTTAACATTTAAATACTTAGATTTTTACTCAGGTTTTCTTTAGAAGTACAATATTTTTATAATACCAAGATTCCAACATGTTTATGGAGTGAAGTAAATTTAGTTCAATGTTTTGGACGAACGTGGAAGAAAAAGACTTTTCTTACAAAGTTCTTGTGTGGAAGTCCGGCGCTCATGGCTCCGGCAGCGGCAGCGGTACCCATGGCTCCACCAGCTGGCCCAGAGCTTGGTCCTGTCCCAGCAGCCGATGCTCCCCCTCCTGCTGGTCCAAATCCATTACCGACACCAACACCGGGCCCTGCAAGCCCCTGGCCAGAACCAGCTGCAGCCTGAACACCAGCTCCAGATGTTCTTGTCTGAGGTGGACCTCCAGCAGCTCCACCTTGCCTCTCTGCCATGTCCTCGGGCAGCAGGACGTCTCCCACCCCCAGCACCTCGTCCTTGTATTTACGAACGTACTGCTGCATCTGCTTGACCTCTGCCGGACTCAGCTCGTGGCACTTGGACGGGTCCTGGTCGTGCTCCGGCAGCTGACGAGCCATCTGCTGCCGGCGGTAAACGGCTCCCTCTGTGCCGGCGACGGGACGCTTTTCAGGCGGGAGCAGCTCGATGTAGCGCACGGCCTGATGGGAAACAACAATCCTGATATCATTTCAGTTGAAGCATGTGAAACAGGAGGACCAATCAGAAGAAAGTAAAGAAGGCCTGTTGGCCTCGTCCAGAAGAGACAACCCAAACATGTCTCCTTCAGACACACACCAGACCAAACGGAGAGAACAGCTCCACACAGAGCGTCTGCACATGAAACATTTAAAGAACATTAAAAATGCCTGTTGGTCAACAATAATACACAAGATGAAGAGTGTTTTAGACCCTGCTTTGATTAAAAGCTCAAATAGAAAAATGTTTTTTAAAAATCTTTGAAGTATCACCAGAGCTTTGACCTGAGATCATCTCCTGATGAACAACATCACCAGTAAGGTCCATGCTGCACCTGCTGACAAACTGTTGCACAGAAATACTGAAGTCTGCACCAGCAACCGAACAAGGGAAGACCTTGTGTTAGCTTTGACCTTGATGATGACTTTGGAGTTACTCTGTGGATGAGTTACTCTGTGGAAGAGTTACTCTGTGCAGGAGTTACTCTGTGGATGAGTTACTCTGTGGAGGACATACTCTGTGCAGGAGTTACTCTGTGCATGAGTTACTCTGTGCAGGAGTTACTCTGTGGATGAGTTACTCTGTGCAGGAGTTACTCTGTGCAGGAGTTACTCTGTGCATGAGTTACTCTGTGGATGAGTTACTCTGTGCAGGAGTTACTCTGTGGAGGAGTTACTCTGTGGAGGAGTTACTCTGTGCGGGAGTTACTCTGTGGAGGAGTTACTCTGTGGATGAGTTACACTGTGGAGGAGTTACTCTGTGCGGGAGTTACTCTGTGGAGGAGTTAC